GACGTAATTCTGGAATGATTTATAGGTCGCGTGCACGATGACCGACCCTGGAGGCAAAATATTGAAACACAACCTCATTCTTCTGTGAATTATTGAAACACAACCTCACTTTTTTACTTGGTTACAGAGGAATCAAAGGATTGAAATAGTTTTTCACAATATTTTGGCATACGAATCGTGTTTTTTGTGCTATTCATTAATTCGAGCATGCCTTCAGATTGTGCTGTTGTACAATGTACAAAAAATGCAGCAAGAGACTAAAGAATATGATTTTTCAGGTAAATAGTAATCTCACATAGTTATCATTATGAAATGTTGTCATTCCTTATTAAAATTGCTTCTGCCTTCTGTCACTTCTGCAATGCAAGCTAATACTGCTAATAGATTGAAAATGTCTACAACACACACGATCGTCAGCATGTCAGACCAGTCCTCCCGATTGATTGCATGAATCCAATTTTCTGGCATTATTTTAGAAATTTCAGATGTATTTCTTTTAGCTTCTATCGCAGAAAGAATTCCGATGAGAAATTACTTCGTCTTCCGCTGCAGTTTTTGTGCATTTCACAACAGCTTAATGTGATGGCTTCAGCGAATTGATGAATAGCGGAAAAATACGAATCGTATGCCAAAATAATTGTGAAAAACTATCACTAGTAAACAAATAAGTGAAGTGACGTTTGTGTTTCAATATTTTGCCTCCAGTGTCGGTCATCTGACAGTTCTTGCACGCAACCCATTTGGCTGAGACTGAGGGGTAACACAGGTAGGTTTATGAATTAACCTTCGAATTGTTTTGTTTTGAAGTGAAAATATTTTTTTTAGGGTTATGGTAAGTCACTTTGTTGGTAATTGGAAAAGGTAATCAAGGTATTATAAATTACAAATAATATATGTCTACTGATCAATTTTACCGTTACCTCTACTTTAGATAACATCAGTTTTATAATGGATTAGTCTTCGGAGAATGATGGTGCTTTAATTGATGAATACCAAAAATATCCTTATATCACAATAGAATCGCTCGAGTATAGGCTTTGACAAATATGAAATTTTAATGTGGATTGACCTCATTTCTGGTAAAATATATTCTCGTATATCTTTTGAGCTATTTATTCCATGATACAGGGTCTTCAGAAAGGAGTTCATTGTGTATTATGCCCACGACACCCTCGTTCCTCCTCTGCAGCCATCCACAAAACCTTTTTTTTTGTCCATTTTTCCATTCGATTTATTTAAACGAATACGCTGAGCATAGCAAACACATTTGCAGAAATGCAGACAGTTAGATTTTTTTGACGAGAAACCATTACTTATATCATTTTTCAATTTTGAATATCTTCTTTCAAAAATATATTTTGAGGTTAGTATACACGCACAATATATTATTTCATAACAACATCTTATCTGTGATCTCTATGTCCTGTCACACAGCACTGAATTTCCCCACAGAAAATGATTTAGATTATTCTAAATGTTTATTTGTGTTCACAACTGATCCATTTTATGAATGAAAAACTGGTCCGCGTCAAACGGACTTATTAAACGAAGTTCTTAGTGAAACATTATTTCTAATAACTTCGTAGATATAGAAGGGGTCTAAGAAGTATGAATTTTTGAATCGCCCTGTATTTCATAAACGGAAACAGTTATGCAAAATCTGATTAGGACATATTGATCATTCTAGAACACGTGATTCTGACATGGTTTCTTGAGGGGCACACAAACTATCTGTTAGAGGTTACTTTTGATGAGCATAGTCCTGACCATCCCTGCCACATCTACAATATAATAACAGTTTCACCAAACACAATTATGGAATTCTTTCTGGTTCCAACTCAGATTCCAAGGAAAACGATCCCACTTATTCTGGTTTTATATGACATATCTTGACAAAATACAATGTATGCCCCTCAGCAACCTGTCAAATGACGTAATTCTGGAATGATTTATTGAGTTTTAAGAAAAAGTAAGGAACGTGAAAACTTCAAGGCTCTATATCAATGAGAAACGAGAAACCTGTCAGTCTCAACCAAAATGAGATGCACTGTACATTTAAAAAAAGTCATTGCAAAAATGAAGGGAATAAGTACTGTACAGGGTATAAAGAGCTGTAGGTATATTATATACAATATATTGCGAATGGAACAAGTATTTTTATACTGACAGTTACTTTCTCAAACCTCAATCGTATTTCCGGAATTATGTACTTATTGTTGTCCCTTTTCATGTTCCATATCGGCATGAAAGATATTGAATTTGAAAAAACTTCTCCGTGATAAAACTAACACAAGAATATCAAATTACATTGAAATTGTCATGGAAAAGGGGATGTTCAATAAATGTTCCTACATAATGATGATTGAACTAATATCACTTATTTTTTCATTATAGAGAATTAAATTTATGAATGCAGGCGCGGATACAAGGGGAGGGGGGATAATTGGGAACTGAAACTCATAAGAAATATAGGCTGAATTGATTAGTTCTGGTAGAATGTAATAATTTAGAATAACAAAATATATAATATGTTTGAGGATAACTATTTTGTTTGTAGCACAACTTGTCAGGTATTCATCTCTGGAAAAATAGAATTTTAGTCTATGGCCCTGGAACTTAAGTTCGATTTTATCAATGTAAGGGAGATGTTCACCTCTCGACAATCGCAAAATGACCTGAAACGGCTATGACGATACATCTCCTCCCAAAAATCTCCATAGATCCTCGCTTGCATGCAAATGGTATCGACTAGATGAGGAATCAAGAGTTCAGGAATTGTATTCCTAATATTCCCACATCTTGTAGTATCTTTTGATATCTAACATATTCAATTTCGAAGATTATACTAAAATCGAAAGATATTCCAGCCAATGTTCAAGATACCATAGTCAATATTCCTTTTTTTCAAAATGGATTATTGATATCTTGGAATCCAAGTTCATCAAATTCACATTTTCACTAAAGATGCTATACTGTGCCTGTCTAAAGCCTGTTTTACCCCTACTAATTTTTGAACCACCTGGTATATCGTTAGGAAATTTGGAAGAATCAAATAGGATATGAACTTCTACTTTTTCATGTGGAAACTTAAGCTTCAGGTTTCAGAATGGCGGCTGACGGCCATCTTGAATTATTATTTCAAACAGCCCGTATACTATTCCATTTTCGAAATCTTCTCTTAACAGCTTCATCAGATACACTTTACCCCTAAATTCGATAGTTTTCGAAATTTTAACCTTCAAAAAGTGACATTTTGGTCATTTCAAACTCAACCAAGAACTCTGATGTTGCTTTCAATCAAGTTTGCTTTGGAAATCACGGCGACGATTTTTTTTCCGAATCAAACTTTATTGAAAGCAACAATCGAGTTTTTGCTTGGGTTTCAATAACCAAAAAGTCATTTGTATGTAAATGTGTATGAGATGAATCTGTTAGGAGTTATGAGAAGATTTGGAAAATAACTGTTCCATTTATAAAAATAACCCAAGATGGCGCTCAGTCGCCATTTAAAAACTTTGTGCTCTCGTTTTTTATGGAAAAGTGGGTTTCCATCTCCTATTTGAGCACTAGTAGTAAAATTAGTAGGGATGGGGAACGGACTCTAGACGGGCACAAGATATTCAGTGTATGTAAATACTATGGAATTGAATCATTCAGGATTTTCCATAATAATATGTGATCTGGTGTAAAAAAAATGAGAGATTTCTATGAATATAGGTCGTGGAGGAACATTTGCGTCATAGAAGACACTGAAGTTGAAAACGAAAAATTAGTTTTGTTGACTTGTTAGAGAACCACTCCACGAAAATTCTTGATATTTTGGTGAATCACTGAGTACCTAAGAGTACCTTCCAGTGCACCTTAGGGTGCATTGATGGTTGATATTGCAGAAGAAAACATGGGTGGCGATGAAAATTTTCGAAATTCTGTTCGAAAATATGAGAGCATGAAATGTTATAGAGGAAACAACAAAACACCAATGGTATGGAATGGAGTGATTAAAAAAAGAGGGATATATGGACAAGACAATGACTTCAAAGAAGAAGTATTGGTAGAGGAGTCCTACCTATGATTTTTGATAATGTCAGCATGGAAGATCTCCATAGTTTCCAGAATTACCTAAGAATGGATGAGAGATGTTTCACTTTTTTATTGAATAAAATCAAACCCTATATATTAAAAAGAAAAAAATTGAAGTAGGTATGTGTGAATGTATACCTGCAGAAATGAGGTGAGATAATGACCTCTAGTCCCTAGTCAAAGTCAACCTAAGATAAATTTCGAATTGGAGCAGTCATAATATCAATGTTAGTACATATTTCTTATTAATTCCCAAGATAAAACAGAAACATGGAAAACGAACGTGCTAACCTTATTGTTTTATCCAACATGTTGAATATTCAAGACAAGTTCAAAATTTCAGCTGCTATTTGACGTGACATTATTGATGACACCACAGATCTGTAGTTTGATCAAATTGTTGGACCATGAGACACGGCTTCAGCACTATGCAAGTCACAGAACAGACTAATTTCTGCCATCACGATAAGTCATACGGAGTGGACATAAAAAATGTCATTTAATTTTTTCAACATATATTCGCGACATATATTCATGGGATCTTCAACCATTTTTCGAGACCTCTTGAAGTTCGTCTCACACATTATCGGTTACCCTGTATTTCAATTTCTATGAGAATTTGGATGACAGTCTGATAATTCAATTTTAAGTTTCAAATTCAGAGACTTATTTTTGTAAAATAAATCAATAAAGTTGTAAGCAAAGAACTTAAATATGAAAAATTCAATCATTAAACGTTGACTCATCCCCTTTTCACGACAAACTCGCAATTTTATTTTAATTTACATCATTCTCAACAACGGAAATTTGGTATCCTCTGTACGACTATCTCGTCATTTTCAATAATTTGTTCGTCGAAGAAATAAAACCTTGCGTCCTACATAACTTAAAAACAAACAGTACAAAAATTACTTTGGTCTTTACAAAATACTAAAGAGTGGAAACGAACGTTCATCACGAAAACTTACGGACTCATTTCCCTTGATCGGCGCTCTCGGAATGATCGGAGTTATTGTTGACAGTGCTTTCCGGCCTCTCTTTCTTGACGATAGAAATGTCCGGACAATTAGCCAGCGAACTGTTTGCAGAAGGCGTCGGACCTGTAAAAACATAAAAACCTCTAATTTCTATTCATAGTGGAACAACTTTGTCTGGACACTACACATCATATTGTAAACACTCAATCACTGACTTATGGAACGAGAACAATGACTCCCTTGTTTCACAAAAATCATCTAAATCTATTGTGAATGGAAAAGCATACATGCTTCTACGAGCAGAAGGTTGCAAGGACACGGAACAAAGGTCGGAGAAGCAACAGTACGAATTTAGATGGAGTGCTGTCGAATAAAAACGATGGAAATACTGAGTTGATTTCTTCCAAGATAACCTCAAATGCGAATGATAGAATCGAAAATATGAAATCTCAGGCCAGGTAGCCGTGCGGTCTGAATGAATGGCGGTCTCTATCTATTGTTATTTAGTCACCCGCAAATATACAAGTGTCTGTTATTATCCCCACCATTCGCGATTTCATTCATTCAACCGTGATTGGCGTTTAGGATTATTGTCGTATACGTTTTAATGATTTATGAATGAATCGCGGTGTCTAGCTATTGTTATTTAGTCAACCGCTAATGTACAAGTGTCTGTTATTATCCCCACCATTCGAGATTTCATCCATTTCACCGTGTTTCATGTTTAGGATTGTTGGCGTATACATTTCAATGATTTATAGTAGTAGTAGTAGTAGTAGTAGTATATATTCTGTTTAAAAATTTACAAGAAATCTTACATCGTCAAAAAAAAAACATTTTGCAATAGTATAAAACACGGCACAAAATATTGTAAAAAGATAAAAGTATATAACAAAAAATAGTACACTATACATAACTAGTATCATATTTTCAAATTTCTAATGGAATCAATAATATCTTGAATATTTTGAAAAGCATTCTTCAGCAAAAACGATTTTATTACAGATCTGAAACGAGGCATACTAATGTCTTTAATTTATGAATGAATCACCGTGACGATCTATAGTTATTTAGTCACCCACATATGTACAAGTGTCTGTTATTATCCCCACCATTCACGATTTCATTCATTCAACCGTATTTCGCATTTATGTATGATTTGAGGTGTCTATTGCTATTTAATGTGAGGTTGAATATCACTGCTTGTCAAATGACCGTTCGCAACACACAAAAAACGCCAATTCCATTAGGAAACTTTAGACCTACCTGGCGACACGGACGTGACCAGACTCTGGAACACGTTGACGCTGTTCGCCGGATTGTCGGGCAAGATGGAGTCGGCCTCCTCCTCCGACTCGTCGTACGACTCGCCGGCCATCGAACGTCGGCTCGAGTTCGCGTCCGGCGCGTCGATCTGAGACATCGAGATCAGGTAGTTGGAGAGCGTCTGCGGCGTGACGTTGAGCTGCTCGGCCGCCCGGAACAGCGTGATCTCCTTGCGCTTGAGCTTGAGGAGGATGTCGGTGGGGCCCTGCTCGGTCCAGAAGTCGCGGACTCTGTGGAATAGAGAGAACATGGTCGTGCCAAGTTGAGGGCTTAAATAATGTGTTGAGCTGCTTGTTCAACTCAGCCTTTTGACTTATCAGGTGACTGATCTATCTGGTCGAGTATTGAAACGCAATGAAAGTGTTTAGTCTGGTCAGAGAATAGTTGTTGATAAACCCAGAATCTCAAGACTAAGAGATCCTAGGGAAATTTCGTGAATCAATTGTCAGCTGATGCAAGACAGACTGTTTTGACTTGCCATCAGTTGCACTGACCAGCTGACAATCGATTCACGAAGGGTACCTCCATATGTTATACAAATCGAAGCCCTGAGGGGGCAGAAGGACGATCTAGCCTCCATAGCCATCTAGTGGCTTAAGTGCAAAAGTGTGTAGGTAGATTCAACAATCATACCTTGCGAGTACGTCGTGCATATAGACCCCTACATCTATATGCTTACAGAAAAGACACCATGTTAGAATTCTGGAGACTATCGCAACACCTGTAATACTTAAAGTGGTTTAATGTTCCAATATCACCATCTGTTACATACTTGACGAGACGCAATGCACTCTCATACAAAAATCAAAGATAGAGAAAGATATATCGATATACTCTTCCCAGGACTTGTGTAGGAAGGAAGATGCGAGGATCCTTTATCTAAGCGAAAAACATATTCTTGTCCTTGTCTGGCAGAACATATGATTTGCTTCAGAATCGTTTGTGGTTCTGTTTGATTGTCACTGCTTGTCTAGTGTCCGTACTCTTATATACAAAAAACCGTCAAAATTGCAGTTTCAAGTACATTTAGGAACTCTACTCAATCCCATCGCAAAGAAGCATGGCTTTGCGACACTATTCTACCTGGATCTCCAAGAAGAGTTCTGCGAGCACACTCACCTGTAGGGATGCTTGAGACACCCGTATGAATCCCGATACCGCCCGTACAGCGTCCCGTAGGACACGCCCAGCAGCTCCGCCGCCACCTTCATCTCCAAATTCTTCGTCTTGATGGCGTCCATCACGCGCTTCGTGAACGGCTCCTCCCAGAACTGCTGCCGCCTGCCCGTGTTCAGGTAGTCGTTCATCTTGACCACGTCGGGCCAGTCCTTCTCGAGGGCGGGCGTTAGGAAGGACTGGGCAGACGACGAGGCCGAGGGGGCGGACGAGTTGGCCGCCCCTTTCGAGAACCTGCCCGGGTCGGTGTAGGAGTTGTTGCTTTGCTCGTCGATCAGGACTTCGTCGTCGTCCAGGGACTGGGAGCCGAAAGAATTGTTAGTATTGTATTTTTTATTGAACATAATGCAACATCATCCTAATTGGGAATCCGTTAACCGATTTCTATTCGAAAATGTGGACAAACCTGAACTATTCAGGTTCAGGACTACTACTGTTTGTTGAATCATAACTCGGATCATAGTTTCAAAAACTTTTTCCAAAAAAGTGGAATGCCTATTCACTACAGGCATAGTTAAGATACCCTCATACCAAATTAAACAATCTAAACGGGCGGAGGTTTTCAATTATCATCTGAATACCTTTAAATCAAGATAACAGTATGGGGTTTCGAAAAATGATTTTGAATAAAAAAAAAACATGAAAAGTTGACAGTGGGTGATGTTAGCTAAGATTTGAAAAAATAATGATCATGTAATAGCTTTATTACTTCCATTAATAATCTTTTAGAATGACAATCAAATTATATCTTCCAAGAACCCTCAACTTCATCGTTGTCAAAATATCCTAACATCACAGTGTGATTATAATAGTTATAATATAATGTATCACTCATCTGATATTTTATAAACACTGATAAGCTTGTTTTTCAATATGAATTTGGTCCAATATCTAGAGTATTTTGCCACATTTGATTTGATTGGAAGAAATATTGTTGAGCTGGAAGATTGAATCAACTGCACTAAACCAGAGTTCAGGTTCATTCTTCCAAAATGCTGGAAGCGTGAATGATTTTGCACGGGAAAATTCGGTATTTTCGCCTCGATCTCTTGAAGGTTGTGGAATACTTCCATTTGACGAAATATCATCCGTAACATCCGCAGAACTTTGTTCATTTGTTGATTCGGTGATCGTTTTCTTCAACTCTTCTAATTTGTTATCAACCTCTTCGATATATTCCATGAGTTCGACGCATAAACATTCCAATTTGTTTAGTTTAATATGCATATTATCATTATCATCGGTAGTTTGGACTTCAACGTTTTCCACTGTTTCAGTATTGATTTCCGAATTATTTACCTGAGCCCATAAATCAGTGAAGTCAAAATCATTCGTATCGCTTATATTTTCATATCTTCTTCCAATTTCAGATTTTAATAAGATTCGCAAGTCGGCCACCGTTCCGTTGGAATGTCTTTCGAGGAGGCGAAAGAGCTTAACTAGCTGGTCTTTAGTTAAATTCTGTAATAAGAGTTTAACCAGGTTCGAAAATTATACTGCTTCGTCGGGGTCACCAATTGTAATAGCTTTATTACTCTTATTAATAATCTTTTAGAATGACAATCTATTTTTTTAAAGTTCTGGTTCCCACGAAAAGGGATATCCTATAATGTTAAGAGAACATCGTGAGAACCAAGGGAAATAAGGTAGGAATTGGTGTTCTTCTTAAATTTCTGGAGGTTATATGCCATGGGGAACACCTCCCTTATATCTTCCAAGAACCTTCAACTTCATCGTTGTCAAAATATCCTAACATTACAGTGTGATCATAATCGTTATCATAATATAATGTATCACTACAATCACAGCCTACTCATAGTATCTGAAGAGTAGTTTTATTTGCTTTTTTGAGTTTTATGTTGTCAGCCTGTATTGAAAAAAAAAACGGAAAGAAGTGAAAAAGAGATACCATGAAACAACTCACCAACTCTTTCTTGATCTTGACTCTGTTATCATCGTTGTTATCGGCTCCCTCGTGTGAAGGATGGTCTTCCTCCCAAATGTTCAAATCGTGTTCGCTGCTCGACATGGCGTCATTGGAGTAACCATCCTCAGGGGCGCCGGATACCGCCATGATTTTTGGAGATGTGAAAGTACTTTCATAGTCATCTATGGGCGGTCGACCTCGTTTTCGTTTTGTAGACGGTGTAGGACTTGAATATAGATTATAGACCATCAATCAATCAATCAATCAATCAATCAATCAATCAATCAATCAGTCAGTCAATCAATCATTCAATCAATGTATTCTTATGCTACAAGGAGCGGTAATTTACTGAGGTTGAGACAACACCGCACTCAGATTTTTCAAAAGTCACACTTCACAACAGGTCCGAGGTTCTTCAATTCCCTGCCCTCAGATTTGAAGGGAATATCAACTTTGGCAAAATTAAAAAAAAGTGAATGATTATCTGCTGGAAAGAAGTTTCTATTCTGTGAAGGAATTTCTGGAGACAAAAATCTGAAGTGAGATGATTGTATTTTTAAAGTGATTGTATTTTAAATGTTTACCTCCAATCATTGTTTTTGAATGTTCTGAATGTTAGACTGTTAGACCCATTTTATCTTCATGTCAATGTAGGTATTAACTTTTATGTGTTTGTATATTCTCTTAATAATAATTTTATACAACTTTTTTTTGGGCGATTCCTATATCATTATTATTATTATTACATGTAATACCACAAGTATTTTGCCGGAAATATTCGGCGAGTGTTACGACTGTTTGTTACCTAATAATATCGCCGAATGACATTGTTTATAAAACATTTTGAGCCGTAGGCGAGAAGTTTTGGAACAATGTCAGGTGAAACTGCATTCATCATGCGTTGGCTTTTTTTTCGAACTGTTTTTTCGTACCTACGTATTTTTGTCTGAAAACTACGAATTTGATAATGAAAAAGTGAACAAACCACTATTCATCGAGATATTTCAAGAAAAAGTTCGAAATTTCACCTTCTTTTCCTTCTTGTCTTCTTATTTTGCATTGGACACTTTCTATATTCATGATGTACTTCAATGACACATATTTATATAGAAAATTCAAAAGAAAATATGTTTTTTATGGTGAGTTATTCATATTTATTGAACATGCATACCAGATGACGGGTCATTTAATCAATAGGCAATCCAAATACGATATGTCAAATGTCAACAGATTGCTTTTGAATTACATTGCACACGCCATTATTTTAAATGATATCCTTTCTTCTTTTCACTAAATATTGATAAAACACAAGAAAATCATATTCCTAGTTGACACATATAATAGAAAAAAATGTGTCGTATATTGTAATATATATAATTTGTCCAATGATGAAAATAGAAGGAGAAATTCTTCTAAATGCTATCCAGAATGCAGGCGAAGAAGGTGTAATTTGTAACTTTACAGTGAAATATCTTAGTAAATAATGGTTTGCTCACATTTTCATTATGAAATTCGTGTTTTTCAGACGAAAATACGTAGTACCAAAAAAATTTTTCGAAAAAAAAAATCGCATGATAAATGCAGTTTTACCCAATGTCATGGGCGAAATTAAAGCAGCAAGCTGGAGCATCGACGAATATATCCAGGAAAAATAGTATCACGAGTTGTATTCGTATGAATATTCCATGATAGAGATAATAAACGAGCGGCTCGCGAGAGTTGCGCACACTGCATCCATCATTCTGGCTTCCAACATAATTGACGTTTAAAACGTCCAAAATTGTATCGCTAAAAAACGACGAAGGTTGATCACTTGTGGGTCAATTCGGCTTCTGTACTGGTAGAGCAAGTCCGATAAAATTTAGTAAACAAAAAAATATCGCTGTAATACAGAAGAAACCGTAAAAATGACCGATTCTGTTTGATTCTAGAGACCAAGAGTGGAATAGTACCTAATAATCCCTCTAGGGAATGAATCATTGCCAGAATGTTTTTGAGCACATCAATTTTCTTTAAAAATTCATGTACTCAAAGAAATGTATATTATAGGATCAGATACATAATTATTATAAAAACTAGCTGACCCGGCAAACGTTATTTTGCCATAAACATTATTTCTAGAATTTTTTTTTATCGATAAATATTCATCAAAAAATGTTTATTATTTTATTTCTACGTCTTTCCGCCATATTGGATCCGCCATCTTGAATTTCCCAATTTTGAAGAATGAAATCATAATCTCCGACCCCGACAACAACCAGATACAATTTTTGAATAGAATCGGATCATAATTACAAAACTCGTCCGCAATATTGGATCCTCCATCTTCAATTTCCTAATTCTGATGAAAGAATCATAATCTCTGACCCCAAAATCTCCCAGATACAAATTTTGAATGGAATCGGACCATAGTTACAAAAATATCTTGGATTTCCAAATTTTGATGATAGAATTATCATCTCCGACTCCGAAAACCCCCATAAACCAATTTTGAATAGAATCTGATCATAATTAAAAAAACTCTTCCGCCATATAAGCTCTACCATTTTGAATTTCTCAATTTTGACGAAGGAATCATAATCTCCGACCTCGTAAACCCCCAATTACCAATTTTGATAGAATCTGAACATAATCACAAGTCGTCCGCCATATTGGATCCGCCATCTTGAATTTCAAAATTTGGTCGAAAGAATTATAATCTCCGACCCTTAAAACCCCCATATACCAATTTTGAATAGAATCGGACCATAATTAAAAAACTCGTCCGCCATATTGCATCCGCCATTTTGAATTTCCTATTTTTGACGAATAAATCATAATTTCCGATCCCGAAAATCCCCAGATACCAATTTTGTATAAAATCGGATTACAAAACTCGTCCGCCATATTGGATCCGCCATCTTGAAGTTACGAATACGCACAAAAATTCTCATACGAATCGGTCGAGGCGTTTCGGAGGAGTTTAGCCAGTAACACCATGACTGGGACAAGAAAATTTTATATATTAGATATTAGATAATTGATATATAATTTTCTCACTAGGTTTTCGGGAAATGAACAATATTGTATGTAATCAATATTGTCTAATTAAATGATAGCTGTCATGTGCCAGAAAATGTCCACTTATTAATTTCAAAGGAATTTATACTGCTGCAGCCTGTACTGGTGAAGGACATAATTTCAATCTCATGAAGGAACATTTCAGGACGTCAGAACGACAGAAGTTCAGAAATATTATATTCTGATGAAACATGAATACCATGATTTTCACATACACAATTTGTATAAATCAATATTTAAATCTTCTGGATTCCATTATATTCTAGGAACAGTGCATACCTAGGTAGGTTTTTTAATCAATTTTTGGGGATATAGGTTGTTGTTAATACTTCCCTGGCACTGTCTTTAGGCTATAAACCACTTTTACACAATTACAAGTTATCTCATGGGTATCTCCCAAATGATTTATGACGGTCAATTTTTAGAAACCTGTGAGTATGAGTCTGTAATACAACAAATAGTTTATTTAGATTTTTTTCCATCAATTCATCTGAACATTTTTCGAATTGCCAAAATAAACCAGAGAATTTAAATGACCAGGCACCACTGTAATCTTTGTGACGTCACTGAGAGAAATATAGCTGTCAATAACATTTAATTTAACAGTGGACTTAATGATGTTGCCAATTCAAAGAATAATATTGTTCTTATTTGTCCTCAAAAAGAAAAACCAACAATATTAGTCTAGTTATGACCAGATGATAGTCATTATGAATTTCATTTTGACATCACCCTGTTGGTTCCAATTATTGTTGTTGTTTCATCATGTTTCATAGACATGGTTGCCAACTAGTCCAAGACTTAGTCCTCACTTAAGTATTTTGCTTATTTCTTGGAGTGCATGAAAGGAAATTCCTATAATTGGGAGGAAAGGGAGTGGAAGTAGGTGTTGATAGATAATAATTGCTTAATTTCAAATCTCAACTCTGAATTCACCTACTAATTGCTTCAATGGTTTCAGTAACAGTGAGTAGATGAAGTCAAACTACTAAGGGAGATGAAATTGTCATGTTGGACTGAGTTTCAAGCCAACTGAAGTAGAAGCACTTATGGTTGCCACCTTTGAATTTCTGATTTTCGGGGCAAAGTAATTGTAAATGCAGGACAATCAATTGAATATAGGGACAAATAAATATTCAATGAAAATGTTGAAAAGTTTGAGGAATTATAATAGTGGTACATAACTGGCAATATCACAAGTAATTTAGAATCAAATCAATGCAACTCAGAGGCATTAGAGGGATCCAGAAGGAACCTTCTAGATTTGTATATCTGAAATAGGACAATAAGTAGCAATAAGTAGAGGTAGTAAATCTACTAACTCAGAGTTTCATGGACTATTGATGACTGAAGTTATTCTTCAAGGATCTGTTTCAGGACCAATCTCATATTCATTATATATTATCCAAAATATCATCAAAATATAAATAGAAATTAATCATAATATCATCATTGGAAAGGTGTTTTCAGGGGAGGGATAACAATAAAAATGCACAAAATTCAGGACATTGCATGTCCTGCAAGTTATCTTGACAGGACACACCACAAAATACTTCAAATTCAGATCATCCTGCCAAATTAGCAGTTGAGGTGGAAGCAGAATAGGCCACAAGATTATAGGCAGTGCACATTCAACAATTCCAAAACGATGAGGAAAATTGAAAATTAGTAGTTATTTCCTAGCTAAGATAGATATATTATTATATACAATGGTTAACTTACCTGTTTGGCATTATAGCTTGAACCTGTGGAATTGCTGTTTGTACTCCATTGGAACTAGAATCTCCATTTCCAGATTGTTCTTCATCTCTCCAAGAAACTTCAGCCAAACCTTTTATTTTTAGTTCTTCAGCTGTTTTTAACAAAGTTGCTAGATGACACTGGAAATTGAAATGGCTCATGTACTTATTTCCATTGTTTTCCATAGCAAGCATTGTTTTATTCATGTTTTATTGGTCAATGTTTTTTGACAAGGTGAGACCATGCATTGATCTAAATTCTAAATCAATATGACTGGCTATAATATGAAATAAATGATATAGGGCAGGCAAAAAATACTACTGATAGTAGAGGCTAGTGATACAGTTTTGAGTACAAGATAACTAGGATACTTACATGTTCTACATTGATTTCTCCTTTGTACATGAACTCTACTAAACATTTGATATCTACATATTTTACATCTTTCATGATAAGTATTGGATCTTTCTCTTCATACTGAGAAAGTATAGTTTCGAAATATGTACTGCAAGCAGATAGGACAATTTTGTGGGCCTTTATTGTTCTTCCCTCACATGCTAAAGTAACATCACAGAAAGCTTCACGTTCCAGAAGCTGCGAAAACATAGTCTGCAAATTGGAATGATGGTACCTCCATCTCAAACAATATTGTTGAGGAAGCATTTTGAACGATTTTCTTGGTTATGTTGATAAAATATAATGTTACACTTTTATTATTCTCTCATTTAGAGCATGAACAGAATGTTTCTCCTGGAATATCTGTGAATCAGCCTAAAAACAACCCAAAACACGAAAAAAAAATCGATAATAATTGCACAGTTTTGGGTTTCTTTTTAAAACTCCATCACGTTTTCAAAACACTAGAAGATTACAGCAACACAAAACACACCTTACGACACATTACGATTCTCAATGAATCACTTTAAACTATGGATGACCTTTTCTCAAAATTTGGAGACGCGTATGTAGATGTTCAGTCATTTGGAAAATTCCAATAAAAAAATATGTCCCTCCGTCTTTTATGAGTCAGTGAGCCAATAGAAAACACGTAAGACCCCTATAAACCATGTATAGTCTCTATGTTCGCCGGGCCAAGCCTTTCAGGCAAATCAATACCCGTTCGTCTTAAAAAAAATACACTCAAAAAATTTCCAATAAATTTTCTACATTTCCCCCAACTTGTTCACACACACTACAAACGCCCAACGCGGAACTTTGAAGAAAATGCATGGGTATCTTTCATTTCAGATTAATCTAACGGCATCGAATAAACAAGTACATAAACTCAAAACGGGGTCAAAAATTGTATTCGCTATGGTGACTGTACCAACGATAATTAGGCCTTTCTTCATATTTATTTTTATAAACTTGAGATTTTTCAGAAACTGAGAAAAGAAATAGAAAGAGAAAATCTATAGACAGGTTTCAAGTTCAATGATCCGGATACCGGATCGTTCGAGTCAAAAACAAAACAAGAAAAACACAAAAATAGGCGCCTAACCGAGTCCCTATCACTTATATTTTAATTATTCATCTTCATTCATTTGCTCCAATTTGGAATAATTTCAGAAATCTAATTTATTTCCCTAATAAGATGGAATGTCATGGACCTTTTGTCTCTTTCTAATTTTTCGGAAAAAACCTTCGAGAGAGATAGGAAAACACGCTGTCGTGAAGTAAACATTATGAAAACCAGAAAGAATTGGCGATTTTCGCCTAACGAACAACGACGAAACGAGCTACCTTTCTCCCTCTGGCGAGGTAACGTAGAACATGTTGACATTTGCCACTTGCAACGATGCCAAACCTACCAAGCTATTGACATTTTCAGATTTTCATGAAAAAATCACGACCATGTTTTCCAGTTTTCCACACAGTTCACACTGGTTTTCCGAAGTGCTCGTAGTTGGCCTTGACTTGACTTGACCCTCCGTTTCAAGTTGCTCAAACCCGCCTCCTACGATACAGGGTCCACTGTCCAGGGACCTATATACAATGAACTCAATACCTATATAAGGACCTCAACTCACATTTACAGGCATTTATTTTTTTCAGGTCAATGGCGCGAAAGCATACATAGAATATTGTATACCAGGTTATGCAGGTACAAGCACTGATCAGTTCTAATGATGTGTGATCTATTTCTTTGGATCATAGAGGTAAAATCTAAAGGTGAATCAGATATCCATTTGTTGTAAGTTGTACCTAGATAGTGCGTCTAATAAATAATGTGGCATCATTGATGAAAGTAAGAAGGTAACTTATTTTCAATCGTGACGTGAATTCAACGTTTCCGATGTAGATGGCGTTACTATAGATTTCGAACAAGATTGGTAGATTTGATGATTATTTGTTTCAATTCTACCAACCTTGATTTCGAACAGTTATTTCTTTTTTCCAAAGAGACGATATGAGACGATGAATATCGGGGGTATCGATATGGTTTGTGCACAGAGCCGGATTTAGCTTTTTGGTATGCTAGAATTTTGTCAACAATCTGTGTGAAAATAAACTCTGGTATACCACTTTTTTTTCTGTAATTTCTATAGCACTCAGTACAGACATATTTTCAAAACTGCCTCCGGCTTGTGAACATGTGTATTAACGGCCAGATACAGGGTGATCAGAATTCTGAATCTTGAACCACCCTGTTGAGATAGGGACATGTGAGCCGTTTTGACCGATAATGAATAGTTTCGACACAAAAAAATCCTAAAGTTGAAAAATCTCGATTTTGAACACCCTATATCTCTGTAATAATTTTCGATAGACTCCAAGTGTGAAGTATCGATGAAATCAGCTTTTCAGGAAGAATAAAAGAATGCGATAAAATACAGGGTGTTCCATTCGAAATATCAATGTTGCTACTACTTTCTAGTAGAAGCGGCAACACTGCATTGTCGAAAATATTTTAAATGAAGAGAGCGTATTCTGAAATATAAGCATGCACATATTCATGGATTTCGACTGATTCTCGATATGAAGATAGTGTAAGCTCGTATCGTGACATACCCTTTATACCTCGATCAAGGATTATCAGATACTAAAATGATATATAATGTATATAAAATTGATTCCTCATAAATAATAAAGAATATAAATTATACCTACTTAGTTTTATTGTGACTTGAGTTTATGATTAAGATGATTTATTTCAGCTGGTGAGTTGAAAGATAAGAAATTGACTGAATTATGGATGCATACCTGAGCAATATAAAGAAAGCATCAGCAACAGCTTCTGATTGTAATTCTGAGAAAGTACAGCAAAATGTATGTCATGAATTTCACAATCATATTGTTCATCCAACTTATAGTGTTATGCGGAAGTGCCGTAGTTCCAGGTGAGATTTTTTCGAATGTTTCATTCAGTATTAAACGTTATAAAACGAATAAGTAGTTATACATATTGGTACATTTTGGAAACCATTGGCGTTTCAAGGTCGCTTAGATGAAAAAAAAAAAGAAAAATAATTATTCACGTGTCTGTGATTATTCAGGTCGCAATTTTTGAAAATCGAATAACTATACCTACCATTCGAATACATGATATTGAAATTAAAAAAAATTCTAGGTTGCGAGATAGATCCTTTTGTCTCGAATGCACCATTGCTAATAAGATCAGGGACATCCAAAATACTGTATCCTTCATACAACAAAACCACCGTAAGATTCAACGTGGGTGACACTGTGGAGTTTTCATGCCCTCAAACAACACTCCTAGTGGACGGTGCAAGAACCGAATCAATCGTAGAAGCAACTTGCATATCCAACCAGCTGTTCCGATTGACAGGCAAGAAATTCCTCTGGAATCAAATATCTTGTGACAAAACTCCAGTATCGACTAGTAGATTCGTCACTGGGAGCTGCGGCAGTAACACTAGGCTAGCCGAAATCGGCTTCCAATTAGACAGCACAAGATTTCTACACACGATGACTGTTTGCTTCAACACCAAAACCCAATCTTCACTCTGGTGCCAAACCGAGATATCCTCCAACATAGCTTCTCGTGTATCAGGTACACCAAGACCATACTTTTTCCAAGACGAAGGTTTCTACAACTTCACAGTCAACAATTTTTACACCAGAAGCAGGCAGCGCAAGACGATCAACAACCTATTGGGTTTGCCGAACAATTCCCTCAAGTATATCGACAATGGGTCTCTGTATTACTTGGCAAGAGGTCACCTGAGTGCTAGAGCAGATTTTGTTTATGCAGCCCAGCAAAACGCCACCTTCAAGTACATCAATACCGCGCCACATTGGCAATCTTTCAATGGAAGAAACTGGAACATAGCCGAAGCAGATACGAGGTCCTATGCCAGCTCCCGCAATGTGAGCTTGCAAGTCTGGACTGGCACTTACGGCATAGCTACTCTACCCCACGAAAATACTAGACAACAAGTAGATTTGTACCTTTACGTGAACAATGGAGATAAAGCTATGCCAGTGCCAGCTATGTTTTGGAAGCTGGTTTATAATCCTGCGGACAGGAGAGGGGTGGTTCTAATTGGTCTGAACAACCCGCATCAGTCAGATGTGTCGAAGAATATAATTTGCGATGATGTTTCTAGTAAGATGACTTGGCTCAACTGGAACGGGAAGAATATTGACCAAGGATATTCGTATGCTTGTAATGTCGCTAGCTTCAGGAAGGTTGTCGCTTATGCTCCAAGCCTTCCTGTATCAGGATTGTTAATTTGATTTTCGAATTCGACGTTGTTTTTTTCTTATATTCTTTCCATCTTTTGAATAAGAAATAGGTTGATACGTGATAAACAAGCAGAATATATTTGATTTTTCATTTGCAATAAAATTCCCCAATAACTGATCCTATTGAATAACCAGCTGAATACCAATAATATGGGTCACTGATTCGAATGAGGGATACTTATCAATTGAATGAAAATGTAAAAAATAAGCGAATATATTACAAAAAAGGGTACTTATCAAAATATTAAACTGAAAAATAAAAAATTCATCTTAAAAAAATAAAAAACATAAAAAAAGAACAAACTAGGTAGGTACATCTGATTTGATAATACAACACATAATAAATAACGTAATAAGGTATTAAATACCAACAAGAAACAAAAAGATATTTGCATTTTATAAAGGAAGGGCCTTGTATCCTGTATCACATTTCATAATGAGTACTCCTATTTTTCTACTTGGAATTGGAAGTTCATTAGCTCGCCTTTCTTCAAACCACTCACTTGAAGATGTGATATCTGTGTCTGTGTCGCTAAAATCGTACACTACAAAATTAAAAAAGGAAACATGTGGTTTTTTTGAGGCTCTAGTTTAAGAGATGAGAGCAAGACAGATTTATAATCTATTATTAGAATATCCCTATTTGATTCTCCAGGGCAACAAATGAAGACTGTGGCACAGATAGACCAGGAGATGGTGACAGGTGACGTTCTCCCATTTAACACTGCATGCCTTTTCAAGGCTTCATAATTACCCCTAAAATATGAACAATAGAAGGGTTCCTGGCTGCCGCACGTGTACAGGGTGGGCTAAATTGGTCACTTTTAAAGAGAAAGTCCTATTGTCCAACTAGATAGAAGTAAACTGATGTCGGTGCCGGATGATCGATTCTGATGCAAAACTCAATGGTGAAAACCGCATATCGATATCTGTCTTCGTTTCGTAGTTACGAGGTTTTCTTCTTCGAAAAGGGGCATTTTTATAAAGTGGCTACAATTTTTTTTGCAAAAATTGTATGTGCTCATGAAAATAAATGCAAAACATTAAAAGGCACTGAAATCGGCTTGCCTATATCATGTTCAAGAATATAACTTGTTCTTCTTGAAGGAAAAGTTCTATTTTGAAACTAGGTATATGGTGACTGATTTCAGTGCCTGAGGATCAATTTTCATGACGAAAACAATGCTTTGGAAATGTTATTATGGAAACGAAGAATTTTTGACAAAAACACCTTGTAACTCTGAAACTAAGATAGATATCGATTTGAAGTTTTCAGATCAACAGGCACCAATAACATCAGTTTTTTTCTATCTAGTTCGGGAATAGGACTCTACTTTTAAAAGTGTCGAATTTGGCCCACCCTGTACACTTCATGAGGAAAAGCGCTTTTCTTTTTGTGATGAATTTTCGTGTTTTTCCGCGATATTATACTGCCTGCCGTTGTGATATAGGTACAGAAGTTCAAACAAACTGAAGCGCTAATATTTGATGGCATGCAATCCGCAGCGGCCGAAAGGGCTCAAAAATGTTAAGAAAAACTGAAGCAAATTAAAGGGGACAGTGTTTTCAAATTGCAACTCGATGTAAAAAATTGAAGTTTTAGTAACAAAAACACTCCGTAAAATAGGCATGCGCCACTTGTCTGCCCAACGGTGGATAATTTCGGGAGAACACATTTGTTTAATTAATTGATAGTAGGTAATTTGGCAAATAAAGACATGCATGACGGAAGTTGCGAAAAACATATATTTTCTATACATACCACTTGATGATACATTTGAAGAGACCTTCTCATCGGTCTTCTCAATGTGATTAGACTCAAAAGACTTGGTCCCAGCCGCCACAAACGAATTCAAACTGGCCAAATCGCCTTCATTAGCCGATTTTTCCATACTCAAACATTCTGGCACGAGCTTGAGCGGCTTCTTCACTTGGATGAGTTTGGCCTTAAAGTCGAGTATGAGACGGCATTCGTGCAAATTGTTGTCCGCCAGTTCCAAGGCGGCTCTAACTTTGGTTTTGGTGAGAAAAGGGTATTGTGGATGTATTTGATCGGTGTAGTATTTCATCAGCACTCCTTTCGTTAATCTACTTGTAGGTTTATGTGTTTGATTCACCTAAGGCAGAGGTTACGACAAATGAATGTGCAAGTAGGACTCTTCGAGCCTCGATTCATTCAGAAAATGGTACCGGGGGTGGTATAAGTAAATGCATTGTCAGATATGATATTGAAGTTACACTTACACATGAGCCCTATTATAATTGGGTCTATATTTTTGTGAAAATATGAATACTAGAAGCACTTTAGATAAAAAATGGGCAAATTATCTTCTCTTCTCTCTCTTTCAACCCTGCTGAATTCGAAAATGTTTGTCGCCAAAGCGAAATTTCAACGCCGAAGTGAAATATTCAAGATGACGGCCAAAATTTCGTCAAAAACTCATGTATTTCGCAATACCTTTCGACTCAAACAGTGATTTTGATTCAACATCTAAGTATGTTTTTCAGTACGAAATCATTATTGGCCACCTGTCAATTACAACTGGAAATATTAAGTTTCCAAAGTAGCGCCCAAGAAGGTGCCCAATATATTTTTTCATCTCGTGGAGCGCACGAAAGGAAATTCCTATTATGTTCAAAGAACATCGTGCATTCCTAGGATAGGGAGAGGAGGTAGGTGTTTTGGTAAAGTGCTGATCGACATATTTCAAGGTTGACAACGAAAGGATGTGCTGACTGGGCTTGCCGAGTTGGAATAATAGCAGAGATTTCTGAAAAACAGTTTCCGTGGAAGTATCTATAGAAAAGTGCTCTAATGAAGTCAAAGTATTAGTGAGTGTGGCATCACCCACCAGGTGGATGGCTCTTCTCAGTTCTCTGGATGGAACCTAAGAGCATCAGCGTATATGGTGATTTGAATTCCCATATCCATGTTATTGTTATCATAAAAATCAAATAACGGCTGCATAAAATCGTGAAATTATCTCCAACATCCTTCATAACCAACTGAATGGGTCCATACATACAGCCTCCTTTGCATATTTGCATTTGGCACTGATGGATTTTTCCAAATTTTTCTGTTAGTTTTTCATAAGTTCAATATTTGATTTCTTATGTGTTTTTCTTGATTATTTCTCGAGTTATTTCTGTACGTTCATAAAAAATCATCTGTTCAATTCTTTTTTGAAAGCTATTAATAATTCTATGAGAGAAAAATTACAGACACTCTCTACCCTCAAACTAATCCTGAAAGTCATCGAAAACGTGATTAACCTGCCATGTTACTAACTTCACTTTTATTTTTCTAGAACTATAATGCTATCTATTGGCTGATGATGGGCTTGTATAAGTTCGAAACATGTACCGTCACGATTGATCTTTGATCAATCTATTGAAACTTGTGGAGATGACTGGGTTTTCATCTATGAACTACTACACTACTCCTCTTTGAGTTACCATCGACTTCTCCCAAAGATTAAAAACCTACATCTGGAAATGTCACTTCTGATTTTCTGATTGTAATTTCAACAATTCGAATGACAATATCGTCTTTGATTATACCTAACCATATCTGTGAATTTCAATTCGCCTCTCTAACCCTTAGGAAACTTGCGGAAGACACGAGGGCAGACATGATTTTCCGAAATTTCACTACCAGTTGTAATCATTTCAAGGTTTCCAATGATACTTTCGATCCCGAAAATATACAGGGTGTCCTTGGACTTGCTCTTCTCCTCTCAGGAATGTATAGATGGGGTCAAAACATCACCAGAACTTCATATTTATCTAACTTCTTTCCTAAAATACTTCGTTACCAAGTTACGGGCCTAAGTACTGAACTGCTGTTTGTTTAATACTTTATGTTTTTTATTTTTGTTATAAATGTTGCTGTTGTTGTAAACGTTAACATAATGATTTTTGTGTGAATATTTTTTATTTCAAATAATGGTAGACGAATAGACGATCGCGTTTGAGGTCGTGAACAAAAGTGCATTTTTATCAAAAATCGTTGCTCCGATCGATTTTCCACAGGAGTAATTTTATTCAGGATATTGTCAAGGTATTTTGCTGAAAATTATTGAAAAACATCTTCCATTTGAAAGTTTTGAGGTGTGGACCATCGGGCGTAGTCCTTTCCTGACTCTTTATAGCAAAACAACTGACTCCTGCATGAAAGCTCAGCGAAGGAATTCATTTGTTTAGTCAATCACCAAAATTTGGATGATTTTGAATATTTTACTTTGAAAGTTATCAAAGGAAAACATTTTTCATTTTCTGACTTTTAGGGCCTGTCAAGCGGCTCGCAACTTTGTAAGGAATAAGGATTTTAGTAAAAAAAGTTATATATGAAGTACTGGTGATATTTTGACGTCATCTAATCATCTATACATTCCCGAGAGGAAAAGAAGTCCAAGCAGAACACAAGATTTTCGGATTTTGCCACGACCTTGGCCACTATCTTGGATATCTCACTTCCTTGGAAGTTGGAATGGAAAATTGGCTACCATTTCTAAGACACCTGTATTTATATACCTACTAAACCTACTTAATCTTATTTGAGAGAGTTTTCTCAATTTGAGAAAAAACTTGGAACTGTACCTATCCTGAGAGGTGGGTTGTTATTAATTTTGGGGTTGATCGAGGGGTTGACTCAGGCTAGCCCTCTACCCCTCTACCTTTCCCCGCCTATGGGCAAAAACAAATTAGGTAGATAGATACATAATTTATGATACAAAGGGTGATATAGGTAGGTAGTTATTCGAGATATTTGAGTCAGAAAATAGAAAATATTCTTGCACTTGATTAAATACCTAATTTCTACAACCCCTGCTTACATGCTCAGATGAACATTCATGAAATAATCTTTGATATATCTATCAAATATTTAAAGATGACCGAAACAGTACTGATGAGTTGACTGATTTGAATGAAATAATAAATAATAAATACCATCATCATGAAAACATTACTTACCTGATGGTGATAAATACTGGTGGGAACTACCCCATTTGTCACTCTCTTGGCCGCTTGGAAATTGTTCGGCATTTTTGACACCCACATGTTATTACCCGAAGCTGGATTATTTATTGTCGGCTTCATTTTTTGTTTATAATCATTTGGGGAAACAAACCCAAATATGTTGAATAATTAGTTGAGATGTTAAACACAATAATACACAATAATGGTGGTGAACGATAAATATTAACTTGCACGCATGTAGGTAAATTACAAGAAAAAAAAATGTAAACACGAAAAGGTTAGGTGATTTGGTGCAAGCAGAAGATAAATTAAACTCCTGGAAGATTAGCAACCCGCTACGTTATGACGTGTTCTAGGTCCAGTCCAGAATTGTCGTTTTTAGCGGTTTATTAAAAATGAGATAGACACCACCCTTTTTAGCGGTAAAATGGGTAGAGCAGTGGCAAATTTAAAAGCCATTGATGTATTGCGGGTTGTAGGTTGTGTAGGAGGATTTTGGGTTGTAGGTATTGGTTTTACGCATGGCCGTAAATAAGTAATCGTCACATATTGTTCCACAAATTTATTGAATACAATATAAATATCTAAAATAGGCATAGGTTATAATATCTAATTCCTATGTACTATCAACAACATTAAGTTCTATAACTGCCATAACTGGGAATGATAGGTAAATCATGGATTTCCAGACCCGGTCAAACTATACCTTCCTATCATGATGAAAATCTTCCTATGCTATCACAGAGGTGTTAAATTACTAGATTAAGTACCTAGCAAAAGTTTAAATATGGATTTTGAAGAGAAGATTTAAGTTATGGCGATTTTGTGATTGTAGATTCATTTATTGTTTCTATTGTCTCCAATTCCTCTATTGATGTATTGATGATGGTGGTATTGCTTTTTCTGAAAATAGAAAGATATATAAAAAGGGTGTCCCGGGAATAAGGTAATGCCGTAAATGATAGAGGGCTGATGATATAGAGTGAGCCAAAATATTGTCAGTAGGTACTTATATAAAAAAATATCTACTGGCTTCCTTAATGGAGTTATTGACTTCGAAAGTTTGAATAAAAAAATATAACCACCATCATCGAGCATTCCTTCGTTCCTCTGATCATCAAACTTTATTTTTTCTTATAGGTGCCTGTTATTGGATTATTATAAATAATAATAGCATATGCATGATGAATCTGAAAATGTCATCGTATGGCAGGGAAATAGTGGCAATATGAATGTTGAGAAAACCAGTTTTAATCTTCTCCTGAAGATGCTAACATAGTTAGCGAAACACGTGTCGAGGTGTAAAAAATCGGTTTGATTAGTGGTAAAACAGTCGTGTGTATAGTGTATTATCGTGCTAAAATAAGGTCTCAGTCTTCGATATATTGTTATTAGTATATTACTATATAATATATTCGAATCGATAACTAATGTGGGTCACTGGTGGACAAAAACTGATTTTCTCTAGAATTCAAATTACCTACAATTTTACATTCAGAAGGTTCGTGAGTGGGGGGGGGCATCGCCTCTCTCTGCCCTTCCCCTCCCCTGAATCCACTCCTGCTCTTTTCTGAGCCAGTCAAATTTCGTTGCATTATACTACCAGGTGGTCGAAAGTTAGTAGTTTTATATGTTTGTTTTCTTGAACTAACCGTTGCCGACTAAATAATTATTTACGTTCTTGAAAATGCTTTTAAACATATAGTTTGAAATCTTGAGGAATTTTTGAATTATTCTCGATAGGGTTTTGAAAATTGGTGGGTAGCAAGTATACCAAATTGCTCTTTATTTGATGAAACAAATTTTCTTCTATCACTTCCAGTTTCACCAAAAACGACCCCAACTTTCTATTTTCTAATTGTATTCCATAATTGGTTAGGGATTGCCATAACGAATTCAACGATACCGGGTTTGATAGGGTTATTTCAAACGATTACAAGTTTCCATATGCTCAATGGGTGTGACTTCGCAATATCAAAACTTCTTTCTCTGTCAAACTCGTTGATTATATGGAAACGCGAACGCGAATATCTGCGTAATCGTTTGAAATAACCCTATCAAACCAGGTATCGATGAATTCGTTATGACAATCCCTATCCGATTATGGAATACAATACAGAGTGTCCCATTTAAAAATCAGATGTTGGGGTCGTTTCCAGTGAAACCAGAAGTGATAGATCAAAAATTGTTTTTAATGAGCAATTTGGTATACTAGCTGCCCACCAATTTTAAAAACCATATCTCGAAAAGTTACAGTCTTGGCCGTTTTTGTGCATTTCTATGTATATGATATCATGAAAAATTGATCCATTTTCAATGAAAACGCACGGCACTGTCCAAAATTATCTTCGTCTCTGAAAAACGGACCATATTGATAGCTATTCATATCGGTCCAAACTTGGTGAAAATCGCACGACTAAAAGCTCTGAGCTGAAGTGTTTCGTGCTTTTGACTGCTGAAAATTGATCACCTGATAGATATATATAGGGTACTTCAGAAATTGAGACTATGGATGAAATGGGCGAATACATTTTTGTCAAAAAAATTCGACTATATTGAGCTGTGTGAATCATTGATTAGAGGTGCTTGCTTTTCATCAGAGAACCGTGTAAGTATCATTAACTTTTGCAATGTTGCCGGACGGTTTTTTTTTCTTTTTATCGCTTGGAGCGCACGAAAAGGAATCCCTATAATGTTCAAAGAACATCGTGCGTTCCTAGGGAGGATAGGGACAGGAGGTGGGTATTGGAATTTTTTTTTGGACTTTTAATAGTTATTGGTAGGAACGCACATTTCTTGAAAAATGTTTAAAAAAATTGTTTGTGTCTTATCGTGTTATTATATGTCATTATGTCTTATACTTATAACACCTCATTTTATTCATTGCCCCGATTTCGGAAACACCCTGCTTAAAACTATGGTGGTCTATTAATCATCGTATAAAATTATATTACCTTTAAATCACAAAAGAATGTGATTCTTATAATTAATTTTGTTTGTCATTGTCAGTCTGGGGAATATTTTGTTGAATTATTAGTCGCTTTGAATTGGGATAGTCGATAAATTGAGGTATACTCGATTGAAAAACTACACAAATCGCCAGCACTATGGTGTGTCTATAAATATTTTCGAAAACATATTTTCTTTAAAAGGTCAAAGTGAGTATTTATTTCGGTACTTCGAAAATACTCAGGAATCACCTGTGAATGCGATCTACTTTGTTTGTTCTAGTAGTAAATAAATTGAAATTGACCAGTGAATAATTCAAATGTATTATAGCCATCCTGTTGAAATGTCATGAGATGTTAGGTGCAATTGTGTTGTGGAAATTAGGAAATGTTGAGAGTATGATGAGGATGTTTCGAAGGTAAGCTCAACCTAAATAAATCATTACATTCACGCCAATCTTACCATCTTCATTTCTGGTTGTCAAATTCAATACTTCCTTATTGACAATATCTTTCCCTGTGTCAAGTGTTTCAACTGTCTCTTCCACTTGGGTGGTATCTTGTCCAATTTCCTGACTGGCGTCCTGATCTCTATCCCATGGTCTTTTAGTTCCCCTACACTCATTATTAGTGTAACAGTAATAAGAGTGTCCTTTACAAAAAGGGTGTCTTCTGATTCCCGCTGTCTGATTTCTTGTAAATAGAGATTTGCACCTATAGGGTATATAATATATCCTCATATTTATGTACATATGGAGAACTAAAAGTAGCACTCTGTAAATTTGTGGGGACGGTGAAGGAAAATGAAAAGTGCAACAACTATAGTATATATTGTTTAACCAGCACGAAATCATAGTGAATTACCACAAGAATGAAGTATGCCATTTCTGTTTCTTTGGCTTGTAGCCATTCGATTTTCCTTTAAGTAATGCTCATCTATCAGGCAGAGCTGTCATTGCTTGAAATTTGACATTTCATGGAAGATGAGACTTTGTGAAATAGTAACACAAGAAGTCATTGTGATATATCAGAAACGGAAATAAAATTGATGACGTTCAAAATACCTCATTGATTTATCGCACACAGTAAAATGAGCAATGTTGTGTTATAGACTTGAAAATGGTTTATTGTTTAACGAGCATGGAATAAATAAAATTGATGACAAAGTACCTCATTGATGGATCGAACACAGTAAAACAAAAGCAATTTTGTGTTATAGCTATAGAAAAAAATATTTTCCTTATTATGAGGCTCCCGATTTTTCCGGAAGTTACGTGTCATCATTCATGAAAATGCATAAATTCATTTGGAGTTTTCGGGGGAAAACTTGTCTCAGATTGGTTTTAATACCAACTCTTGCTGTATACAGTTGAAATAAATATACCTTCTTGCGTAAAGTAATTTGTCCACTGCGCTGAAAAAATCATTCTTGGAAATGCTGAGCACGGTATGTAGGGTGGCAGGATGAGTTTCAGGAAAAAGCTGCATCAGTCTCAGAAAGTAGAAGAACTGACTAGAAGACTGATGCAAGGATGATGGAGACTTGTCAGTTGATACACTAGGTGCTGTAGAAATGTCACCAATATTCTGAAAAAAAAAGTAGTTCTAAAAACACGAAGTATAGTAAGAGTAGGTGAAAAAATAAAGTTCATATGAACATGTGTCTCAACTTGCTCCGTTTTTGAGATACAGGATGTTGAAGTTGAAAGTATTAATTGTTTTTATTTATAACCCCCCTGTATAAGTTTTCATGGTGCCGGAATTCAGAATGATTCTAATTGGGGTTATTGAGTAATCTCAATGGAAGTCTTGAAAACACCTACATTGAAATCTGGAGTCAAATAGAATTTTTATTGTTTCCTCTAAAACTAGATACAAAAATCACATAGAGGATACAGAAGTTGTTATTTCAATAGTTCAATCTAATGAAAATATGAAACTCAGAAAAACTGGTGGTGTACAATGACATTCACCATGAATATCTATAAATTTACCCAGTGTGACGTCACTGGAAATAACATTTCGAATCTGATTGCACTAGAAGAAGCGCCATATTACTATTAACAAAACCACAACGTTTTATTGAAATTGATGAAAAGACAATTGGGAAATGAATAAAAAAAAGATTGTTCATGGAAATATTAATACCCTGAATCTCGAAAACGAAGCATCTTATAAATACAATGACCAATAATTGATTGAGTCAATGTATAACATTTTATAAACGTTGGTCGTCATGATTATTGTCTATGTCAAAGTATTAGCGATTTCATATTTGATCAAGTAGATGAATTTAGAAGGTGGTCATGCAAACAAATAGGACATATGAAAATGCGAGACCACTCATCACTCATATATTATAATGTATGAGTTCTTGTAGATTCCAATAGGATCTGATTCTCAATATGTCAACTGATTGAAGGAATACGAATATAATTATTATTGTTTTTTTGTATTGGATTGAGGCATATACCTACCTGATGGAGAATTAATTCGTTTCCAAATTTTCATTGAAATATTTGGTTTTCAGCGATCGACATCGGTATGTTCATAATTGACAGTTTCATTTAAATACTGACTTAGTTATCACTCAGAATACGTCATACGAACCGTAGTTTCAGTCGTGGACAAGTCACCAGGTCTATTTTTGTTCAGCGATGATGGACACGGTTGTAAATTGCTCCAAGGGCAGCTAATAGGCTTTTTGAACACCACTTTATAATTATGACACTCATCTATCGGTTTATTGGATGTATTTGCCTTTGGATTCATACCAAAAAAGTTCGCACTGACTTCAGCAGGTGATCAGACAAAAATTGATATTTTGTGCGATGAATCTGTAAGGAACGGTAGAACTATTTTCTTATCCGACACATTTTTGTTAAGCTCTCATTGTTGATTGAACTCTGATGGAGTTATGACAACGTGATTGTCAGTTCACACCTTTGTTGATTTCGTCTCCAAATCAAACCATTGAAAATTTCTATCTGTACAGTGTGTACAGGCTAATCATCTCAAATATCTGGTGAAAAACTCAATATTCAAGGAAATACATTCAATTAATGGCATGTAGGGAGACACTTTCGAATATAAGAATATGAGAATGCTATAACCCCCTCACCCCAATGAGCAATAACAATAACCCCTCTTCGATTTTCCAAATGACACTATATGGTAGATATGTGTAACATAGGTATCATTTCAAAGAAAGAACAATGATGTTACGCTTTTCAAAGAGTTGAAACTTGTTATAAATAGTAGGAATCTGATTGAGATGATATGGAAATATAAAAAGTACGAGGCCGCTTGTTATTTGATGATTAGCAAAAACGCATACGAATTATTTAATTTTTTGTATAAAATGTCACTTTTCGAACATATCTTTCTTCCTATGGGAAAAAGTGAGTAATTTCTCCCGGATATATTTATATATTATATATATACTGTTGATGGCTTTTTTTGTGATAGTTCCGAAAAATAAGGCAATAATACCGTCTCCGAGAAAGACCTGCAAGTCCTTTTAATCTTCCATTCCACTTCGCGGTTACGTAAATTAATAAACGACCACTAAGTTCGCAAGTTTTTTTAATCAAATCACATAATTAGACTGACTGACTGATATTTGATTACTCCAAAACGATGATGAAGATGCCTGCAAAAAGATGCTTGCAACGTAGGTGTACCTAATTCCTGTTGAAAACACGTCGATAATTTTCTGATTGAAATATACCTAATGTGATATCTTCTCAATATTGATTCGTCCTTTCTAGTGTGACAGAAAAAAAAATAGTATAATATTATTCACGGGAAAAATTAGATTTAAGCTCACACAACCTCGAGCTAAAATCTACTACTTTTCCCTTGTATATAATAAATATATAACTATTTTCATGAAACTGTCGGGACTCCCCAAATTTTGGTTTAGAAATAGCTTAAATGTAGGGATATATATAATACCATCCGAAACGTGTTATAGCAGGTGGAGTTCTGACAATATACCTCTATGTATTAAGTAAATGTAGCATGTAAGTATGCTGCGATGAATATAAATTAAAATAAATGATATGCAAATGTACAAGTTTATCATAATGCAGCTCCTGAAAACCTGCGAACATAAAGATATCAATGAAATGTTTTTAGGAAAATGAACATAAATATTAATTTACATTATATTCTATAACTTTGCATACTTCAGATGATCAGAGACGGTTATAAACTCCCTATAGTTGTTCTCTTCCATTACAATACGGAACACGCACAATTTTTAGATTTGTTGAAATTAGAATCTGACTCTGTTATGATCAGTTTGTATGTTATCAAAACTCGCGGATCATCCATTCGCTTATACTGACCCACTGAAGTATGGGAAAAAAGCCGAGGAGAAAGCAGTGTTCTGAGACGTAGAAATGTATTGATTACAATTGAAATACTCCCAGTCGAGCACATAAGGTCTCTTAGGGAAATGTGTGCTTTTCAATCAAGGAAAAAGATATAAAAGACGAGAGGTCATTATCATGTATAGCGCTGAGCTCTATGGTTATCAGATCTGAAATGGTTTGGGGACATCGGAAAAACTTGTTGAGGAACAGTGTTCAACATGAAATTGTTTTATTCTCATTTTTTCATAGCTAGATGATATTTATGTATGTATGATTAGTTGTTTTTTGATGATACAAAAATATAACATCTCTATGCTGTTTATGAATTTTTCGAACTTTTGAGTTGAATTCAAAAAAACGAGCTAGCCACCCTTTTCGGGGTGAAGAGAAATTGAGTAGCGAACAAACTCGCTAGGAAAGGATCTAAAACACCCTTGGTGTGACCAGAACTTTTCTGCGGGATCAGCAGTAGAAATGAGAAAAGAAGAATACGCTGAACAGAGTATAGACATCTTGGAAAATATTCAAGGTCTCAGACAGGCTAAGATTCTATAGGGTACATATTATTATAATGCAAAAATAAACTTACTACTACATATACTAAGGAAAGCATACGTAATAGAGGAGGGATGAGGTGCTACCTGCCCTATACCTATAGAAACACCTCATATCCTGAAATTTTTGAGTGATATAGGACTAGAAAAATTGCAATAGCTACGGAGAACAACCTCATCAGGTATTGCAAAGAATGGGACACAATAGATCTCGCAGTGTATTCAGCCCTTATGCATACAATACAATGCAAGGCTTATTTGTTTATGTTTGCTTAACCAGCTAAACTTAAACAAAGGGGTCCCAGGTAGCATATTAGTAATATTGCATTAATATTGTTAAATGTTCACTTTTTATTTCTCGCCAATATTGATTTGACATTATCACATTTTATGACCAATACAACTACGAATATTCAACCAATATTGATGTGAAAATATTTCACCAATGTTTTCAAGACGACATTGATGCGGTTTTTCAATATTCTACCCACATTTTGAAACTGTATATTGTACCAATATCACCGGAATGTTCACATTTTGTTTCTCGCCAATATTACGTTCACAAAATTTTGCTGATATTTTCGTAATTTTGCACCGATATTATCCCAATATATAGTTGTGCTACTTGGGAACTATGGGGCACTATGGAACTTGAAAATCTGCCATTGGTGAAGTTAAATTCGGTATTGAAGTGAATCAAAGTTACATTAGCTTCAATTAACAATAACAGTATATGTGTTGCTGTGTCAAGGTCTCGAAAAATCTGATTTTCATAATTTAAAGGCATTTGACCTTGACCAAATAATGTAACCTGCGGCGCATTTTTGGCTCGTTATCATATAATATATCATATCTACCAATCCCTTTATATTTTCGACATCTGGTCATCCATAGCTATTGCCAAAAAAAATTGCGTTTCGCTTGGTGAATAAATCCAATTCGAGCACTGATACCAACAATGAAAAAAAGAAAAGAAAAAGGACAGACTATTTCCATCGCGGATCGTTCTAGCGCAAACAGTGACCGATCGCAAGGCCTCTCGCATGCTTGAGCTACAAATAGCAGAAAATCGCCGCTAGCAAGTTTCTAGTCACTTTTCCGTGCCAAAGCTGTGTCGAGCTCTGCTCGAATCGAAACGCGACCAGGAATGAGTTTCGTCAAAAACATCTTCGGGATGGGCGACAAGGACACTGACGCGCCTGAGGATGACGAGGACGCCAGCGAAGAAACGTCGAGCTCGTCGGACGCCGGCTTCTTCAGTAACATGAACAGCAGCAGCGATTTGCAGGGGCGTTTGGAGGGAGGATCGGCCATTGATGCGGATTGTTCGTCTATTTCCAATTTTTTCGGATACTGGTACGTTTTTGTAGTTTTTCGGTGTACAGGGCGATTCAAACTTCCTACCCTTAGCTTATAAGAGGAAGAGGAAAACTGCGAATGAGAATTTGGCAGAGGGTATTTAAAAAGCTGTGTGTAAAGGTATATTTTTTTGTATTCAAAAATTTTTCAACCCTTTTCAATATGGCGAAGGGTCAGAAAAACTATTTTTCTACAAGCGTGCGTGATTCACCCTATACCCGCACGCAATTTAGTTTGGGAAGTGTTAAAAACATAGATATGATAATATCGCAAAATACAGGGTGTTCCTTAAAGACATGATAATATTTGAGGAGGTGATAATCTGACTCATTTTAAGAAGACAACTTCATGTGAGCGTATGTCCTAAAAGTCTGAACTTTTGAGATACAGGGTGATGAAGTTGTTTTGAAAAATATTCAGTTTTTTGATGATAACTAAGACAATATTGTATACATCTGTATGAAATTTGGTACACGTCTTGTATGCATTTTTATGCATTTTCTGATGTACGAAGATTTTCATTTTCTCTACCAGTGGCACCGTTACGGGAAAATTATTGTTTATATTTTACTTAGAAGTGAGCAACGACGAAAATTTTCGAAATTTCAAAGGATATTTAATTATGTACAAAAAAGATCCTCTTGTTGATACTCGATAGAACGCTTCGTTTTCGAGGAAAAACGGAAAAACGCGACCAGACTTCAAATTTTGATGTTTGAGTAGGTACTCCATTCAGGACGCTTCGCTCGCACGTTAAAATATCTCGATCATTAATCGCCCTCATTAATACACTATAGTTGGTTAAATAACTATTTCCTGCCTATATACTATTATCTCTAAGAAATGTCAATACAAAAAAACCATGGCGATTCACAATGTGTAATTTGTTTTTTAAAAACGGAAGCAGATTCATTGCGAAACTTCCATTTTTATACTTACTTCTTCTGCTTCAAATATTTTTTTAACTAGGTGTCATTGACTATTGATCGAATTACTCTTCTAGGTTTCTAATATTGAAATTCATATCGATTTTTCCTTACTCACAGGAAAATTGAATTGATGCTTATATTTTTCCATACAGGCTGTTTCTTAAAAACTGGTAAATTTGCTTCCTAATAAGGGACCCTATACGTCTCTTCGAATAGTACACCCTGAGAAAGACGGTTTTTCCTCAATATTTCTATTTCCAAAAATCATAAAATTTGTTGAATATCATATGAACTTTCAATGCTGAATCTTCAAACAGAGTGTTTAGGGTAAAAACATTATTTTTTCACATTCTGATATCAGAATATGATACCGGTTCACTTCTGGTAACTTCTGCATTCGTAAAAGGATTTTCCTGAGATTTGGTACAGCTTTTCAAGCAACCATTTCGGAGTTGATTACATTACAATCCAATATTCGATTTTACTATAAGCGACTTTGTTTTTTAAAATGTAAAAACCCTCTCTATTTTTACATATTCAAGTTCAACAGGTCAAAACAAGTGCAATCTTCATGACCAGATTAAGAAATGTTTTTTTTCACAGCTCACTTGTAACATTATTCGAGCTGCAAGTAACTAGTTTTGAATGATTTTTGAATTTATACAATTTGTCATACGGCACCAAAATACGAAAATGATATGTAATTTTTTTCCT